AGAAGAAAAAGAAATGTGTGTTTACTTAACATTTACTAGGTTTAGGTACTATAGCAGATTTTACATGAATTAAAATTCTCCCTGAAACACCGAAGAGTTGATATAGTTGTTGATGCACATCTTTATTTCTCAAATATTCTTTAGTGTTTATGACATGTTGAGTATATTACTTGTCTCACCATGAATTGAAATTTCCCCCGCAAAAGGCACTTCCTCTTTACCTTTGTCTATTGGTTATTTGATGTACATACTTTTCTTATTTTGATGAAAACAATTAATAAATATCAATTTACTTCCAAAAATTCAAAAGGGAGTTAAACATCTCTTTAAAGTATTTATGTTCAGAGTAAGAAAAGAGAAAGAAAACACTGACTTATCCAGCTGATTGCTAATTCCTTTGGTTACTTTTAAGTTGTTGAATGATTACAGATTTCCTTCATTCAATTTGATAAACCAATGTGAGTGTTTAAAGCCAAAGTACTTTTGCTCATTTTATGTATGTTTTAAGAATATGAATTAAAATGATGGAAAAAATTAAAAGTGAGGCAAGACCAAAAAAACTTTTATAGTATCATGTCTAGTACTTTCAAAAGATATTGTTAGATACTATTAACAGATTCCTTCACAGCATATCATACTATCTCCAGTTTCATTACTACTGGGGAAAAATGTCATAAAAATAATACACCTAAGAATTAAAAGAGCCGAATACCATAGACTACTGTACTAAAACACATGGGTAAATAAAAATCAATTATAAGATTTTTCTTCTAAAAATATCTTATTTATTGTAGTTGTGTGTGTGTGTATACCCCCATGTACGCGCGCGTGCGCGCGCATACACACGTGCATGGTTGTCAGTAAGAGGATGACTTTTAGGTTATAAGGTTTGTACAGTAAATATTTTCACATACTGAGTCATTTCACCAGACCCAATTAAAAAGATATTCCATGTGAGATTTTTATAGAGTAGAAAAATCTGGGGCTGTCCAATTACAGTATATGATCTTTACTTTATGGCTACAGTTCTCTTTACTTTAGAGACAGTTTTTGATTTTGTGGTGTTTACAAAATGGTTCTTTAAAATTTTTCTACAGGAAATGCTATAGTATTTAAAGAATGGTCTTTTGCACCTTCTACAAAAAATTACTATTTGTATGTAATTTAACTGATACTTGTTTGCAAAAGCTTCTAAACGTTATTCAGTCAAGATTTGTTTTGCAATAACTGGTTTTCTGGGACATGTGTTAGAATTCAAAGGACAACTGTCAAGTTACGATTTAAGTAGCTGAAAGTTCTTAAACATTAAAAAGGCATATCATTAAATTTCAGTCTTTGTCTACTCAACAAGAAAGAAATAACCGAGCTTCAAAGTTTCCAACAAACTAAATCAACTTTGCTATGGACAAATCTGGCACATTAAAGAGGGTTTTAAAGAGTTCAATTGGACTATAAAAGCATAATAAGTTGAATGTTTATCTTTATTTTATTTTTAGATACTGTGTGTTATTATGATACAACTTCATTATATTCTTTTTTTGAGACAGCATCTTATTGTGCAGCTCTGGTTGTCTCAGAACTCATTATGCAGACTAGGTTGGCCTTGAACTCACAGAGATCCACTTCCCTTTGACTTCTGAATTCCGGTATTAAAGGTGTGAACTACCACATCTGGTATATTACTGTTTCTTAAATAGATCATAATGAATACCATTTCTACCAGGAAATAGTGCTTATTTGGCTCTTGTTTAAAATAAGAAAATTCTGAAGCAATATTTAAAAAAAATTATTATTTTATGAGTGTGTGTGTGTGTGTGTGTGTGTGTGTGTGTGTGTGTGTGTGTTTGTGTGTGTGTGTGAAGAGTGTGCCAGATTTCTTGGAGCTGGAAGTGCAGGTGGTCTAAATGGTCCAATATGGGTGCTTAGAATAAAACTCGTGTCCTCTGAAAGAGTACTCTTAATTGTTGAACCATCTCTCCAGCTCTGAAGCAATCTTTAAAAAAGTAAAAACAACAAAAACAATGCTGAAAATTTTGAGTATCAGAAATTTGGAAGTGAGTTCTTCCTTTCTGGGATATATTTTATTTATTTAATGTAAACAAAAGGGCCATGGAGTCATATTTGTAGAGCAGCTTCAGCCATCTGAGGTTATGGATTAATTTGTTCTTTACAACTCAGGGATAGGTTCATTTGAGCAACATTTAATATTTTAATCTTATGAATGGCATACAAGATAGTGATATACAACTGGTAAAGCCAATGTGCCTTATTAGGAGTTAGAAACTATTTCTTCAGAAATAGAGGTAAAGTGAAGATGATCTCATTGTGGGGGAATATTGAGCGATGGAAAGTCTGGCTACTTACACAGTTCTGCTCTAAAATAATCATTACTGTTTACAGTAGTCCTAAAAGAGGCTTCCATTTAAAAACTGATACATGAGAGCATTCCTTAAAAGTTTAATTAAGGTTTATGAAACAGCTACCAACGTTAGATTAAAGAAAACAATTATAGAAAGTATTTTTTGTGTAGGTGATTATCATGAATATTAGATCCCTATTTGTTCTTAAATTATTGGAATGAATATAAACACAACCTAGAGAGACCACAGAAGGATGGCAGAGAAGACTAGAGAAACCCTATCACAAATGACAAGTGAGAAACACACTTTGACCGTTAAGGAGAATCCACATGTCACAATGAAAGAAAAACAAACCCACATGGAGTCTGATTTCCTGTAAGAGCTGAACGTCATGGAGCAAAGACCACTGCATACACAAGTCTCCAGAGCCAGTTCTACATTCAAACCAGAGAGCCCTCCTGCACATATGCTGTCACAGAGAACGTTAAACCCTGATGGATGTTGTAGGCTGTGATTGGAGATGATGCCAATGGTAGCCTTCTTATACCCTCTCATGAGAAATGGAGAAGTGCCTAGATGAAGTGGCAGAAAGAAATGTGCTATATATTTGTTATACCGGGAATCATATGCCTGTGGTGTTAAGAAAAGGGCCTATAGAAACATGTAATGATGGGATGATATACACCTATGTTTTCAAAAAGTCCTTGTTGATAGCATAAATAGTTAATTTGTTTTTTAGTAATTACTTTTCCATAATGATTTTTCAAAGAGGAAAGTAATTTTTTTCATCTTCATGGAAGTAAATAACCAAGATCCTTAATAAGTACATCATTTCTAAGCTAACTTTGTGGGCCTAAATCTTCCATAGATATTGGCATGAATGTTTACTTATAAAAAGTATTTTATATAGCTTGAAGATCTTGATTAAAACTCCCTCAGCTTTTGGTGAAACCTCACTTATGATGATGATAGTGGCACAATACAAGGCCACAATATGTTTATGCTAAAGCTGTCACCATTATGCTTCAAGCATTATTTGCTCATTAAAACACCAAAATGACAAAGAAAAGTCAAATGAAGAATAAAGATGGCCTTGTAGTTCAGTTGTTCTGTAATCTTTCTTATTGGGAATTTCAAAGCTTTGCATTATTTTCATGGCACTTGTCCTGAGATCTTAATGAGTTATCTAAATTCTCTTTGTTGTATTCCAGTATGTTTTTAATATAACCAGGTTTGCAAATAACAGACAAAAATGATCTCTCTACAAAGTCAGTTATAAGAGAAAAAAGTCATTGACAGTCCTAAGTTAGGAATAAAAATTAAACTGGCTGGCTATACTTTATTGACCCAATAAATTAAACATTATTAGGATATGGATTTAGTCACATTATATTTTTTGAAACTTTCTCAAATTTGAAATCTAAAGATGCTAATTTGTTTTTCTGTACAAACAAATTGTTATTTTTAGATAGTGCCATTTTTTTAAAGGAATGGTATTATGTATAATATTCTTGTGATCAGAATTATATTGACAATACTGGTCTGCAAATAGTTATAGCAACTATATAAAGTAAATATGTGTAAATATGCTATAAAAACTGATACTTTAAATTTCACATGCTATTAATGTCCTTTTCTTTAGAGTCACATATTTTTTTCTTTACATCTGCTCAACCTTGTTCCCACTTTGGAATCCAGACTTAGCCCATTATATAATTAAGGCATGTCAATAATATTTTGGAAGTTTACTTTACAGAAATTAGAAAATCCAGTATGCTGTTGTTTAATACAACAGGTAGGGGAAATGAAACCCTAAGAAGACAAGAATATAAGTCTATTTTATATTATATATTTATTAAAAGAGCATGATTCTCATAATTAATATAATATAATTCTGTATGATAAGAACCTTAAGAAAAACACAAGTAACATAGAAACTATGTAATCCTATTTTTCTTTTTGTTTTCAAGACAGGGTTTTCTGTGTAGTTCTGGCTGTCCTGTAACTCATTTGAATTGAAGCCGAGCCTGGCCTTGAACTCAAAGACCCACCTGCCTCCAACTCTGAATGCTGGGATTAAAGGTACCCACCACCTGGCTAAGTATTTTTCTTTTTTTTAAAGATTTTAAAGAGGGAACAAATCTTTCATTTTAAATATACATAAATGAAATTTTTCTCAAACTTTCCCCCTATAATAGTCATTTCCGGAAGGTTTCCTATGTGTCTGGATAATGAGACGGGATCCTCACTAACTCAATTAAAATCTTCAGTATCAGTAACAAACACATCTATGTTCAAAGTAGAATCTTTTAATTTAGACAATATAAGCTTAAAAATAAATTACATTGTTCAGAGAAATTATTATGGAATAAGGTATTAATAATTAACAATCAAGTTGGCTATTTATGTGTTAGCTATTTCAGTGTGATACATGAGTACCGGAAGCCAAGTTATTTTGATAAGAGCGTAGTATAGAAATTTCCCCTAAAACTGGTAACTTTTCCCCTCTGATACCCTCATCCCTTTCAGCCAAGGGCAAAGTGCAAGGCAAAATAAATTAAGGCAAAAAAAAAAAAAAAAAAAAAAAGGGTGAGTGCGAGCATGTTATTGACCATGTAAAAAGACACGTGCAAAATATACCTCAGATACACTATAGGTAGATGAGCACGACGGAAGCCGAGCCTGGTTTTGCAGTGGAGAAAAGAAAACACTGTTAAAGAGGAAATGATAGAACAGTAAGGGTCTCAGAAAGTTTCCATGGCTTCATCACCAACAAATTTGCCATATGAATAGTAAAACCTGACAAGGGGACACAGCTTAAGACTCAAGTTATTTGAAAGAGAACCTCATGATTAAGAAACAAAGAAACCTCAAAATCCACCCCTCAGTTTGCTAAAGTACAAATATAGAGATGATACCCCTATTCAGACAGGTTGTGGTATGAACTTGCTGAGAAGATGCTCAATTAAGGGAGAAAGCAGAATACCAAACATTTTTCCTAAGGTGCCCCACTGATCTTAATTGGGTTGTATATCTACTGTACATCTTTATATTGTTCTATAAAAAGGGCAGGAAAGCCAGTTTAAGTAACCTGATATTCTTTCTTCTTATGCAATTTTCAGTATTAACGAACAACCCCCTTTTCTCTTAATACATGTCAGCAACACCATAAAAATATTATTTATATATATGGCCTTTCTCCACATTTATTTTTTATTTAAAATCATTGTTTTTACTCAAGGATTCCTCTGTGTGTGTGTTTTCCTCTCTCTCCCTATGTTTGGAGATAGAGTCTGGCTATCTGGTTCCAGCTGGGCTGGAACTGCCTATGCAGCCCAGGCTGGCTTCTACATGTAGTCCTTCTTCTTCAGCCATGCTATTTGAGGTGTGTGCCACCAACTACAGCTCACCAACGTTTTCAAATAGCTGTTATTACTGTTTCTTCTCCTGAAAACTGTGTTTCACCTGCACGCTTTCCCTGATCCAGCCCTGTCCCTGGCTATCACTGAGCTCCAGTGATCCTCCTGCTTCAGGCTCCAGAGTGGCCAGCACTGCAGCCCTATTATCACTCCAGGCTGACCTTTATAACTTTGAATTGGTGATGCTCTGGCTTGCTCTCAATTTCTTGGTTGTGATGCTAACATGCTAAATTTTGTTGCCTCGTCTTACACTAATTTTCACTATGCCATGTGAGCTGAAACAGCTACCAATGCATTTTCTAGTCACAAGTTCTGTGTGAAGTTTCAGAATACAAAGTAGAGAGTAGGGAACTGGAAAGGATGACAAAGAGGACAAATCAGAACCAACCTTATCAGATCTGCTACTTAACATATTTCTAGCACCTACAACAGCAGAACACAGTATGCGTTCATTATTTATTGAATTAAGAATATAAGAACTCTTTCCATCTATCATTAAAAAAAACTAAAGTAAATTTTTGAAACTTTTAAGTCCAGATCTTACTGATTTGGGATAAAACTACCAGTGTCATTGATGCTTTGAGGTAGTTTCTAAAATATGGTTAACTTTGTATATTAAGAAATGAAACATCTTTTCAACTTTGAGCACTAAATTCTCCTTAGCAAAATGATAGTTCTAAGAAAATCTTGCTTTGCATACTTATTTATTCTATTTAAAACAGTTTGAGAATCTTGCCTCTTTTTCACCCAGTTCCTATTTGCTGTTACAAGGAAAAATTATTTATCAAGCAGAGGTATCATTAGTATCTTATTTTTGGATTAAAGTCAATTTTTTTCCCCCAAGATGGGGTTTCTCTGTGTAGCCCTGTCTGTCCTGCAACTCAGAGATCTGCCTGCCTCTGCTTCCTGAGTGCTGTGATTAGAGGTGTGTGCCCCACTGCCTGGCTTAAAGTAAGTTTTGAGAGAGGCAAATCCATGATGAACTTTAAATATCTTAAAGATATGATACTTTTGTTTCAAATGTTTTAGACATTATAATATTTAAAGTTTTTATCTTTTGATTTAAAGCATGGGATAAATTAGAGCTTTCTTATTTTCATTACAAATGAAATTTCAGGAATAAGTTTTTCACATCAAAAAAATTCTAATAAACGTGAAAACTGGAAATTTTTGGATAGTATCCCTAAGACTAAATTACTGTCATCATTATTAAAGACTTGCCATATTTATGATAGATCATCTACCAAGATGTCATATACAATAGATAGGATTTTACTATAATTTATGTAAATGTCCACTAATCAAACAGGAGACACAGGCAGCTCAAACAATGTTTTATATATGAGGACTGACACTAATAATGTGCCTGAAGAAAGTAACTCTATATAAACAAATTGTCTGATTAGAAAGATCTATTGATTGCTCACTCATCTAAGGACTGATGCAGACATTTTTTTATATTACTAAGAGCTACATATTAAAGTATGATGTATTGCTTGATCATGTCTATCTATCTCATTTGATTTAAATTTCCTTTGAAAGACATGAAATTTTAGGTGAGTACAGTCAACTCAATAAATCTAAAAGTTGATCTTGTTATCTTTACTAAGATATAATGAGGCAATAAACATAAAATGTTTACAACAAAACACTCTAAAATATTTTTTAAAAGTTTAGAAGAATGAACTTTAGAGTTGCATCCCAAATTCTTTTTTTTTTGTTTGTTTGTTTTTTGTTTTTCAAGACAGGATTTCTCTGTATAGCTTTGCGCCTTTCCTGGAACTTGCTTTGTAGCCCCGGCTGGCCTCGAACTCACAGATATCCGCCTGGCTCTGCCTCCCGAGTGCTGGGATTAAAGGCGTGTGCCACCACATTCCAAATTCTTTTTTTTTTTTTTTTTTTGGTTTTTCGAGACAGGGTTTCTCTGTGTAGCTTTGCGCCACCACCGCCCGGCTCCAAATTCTTATAAGGTGCACCCTCAAAACAAATTTATAATCAATACTTCGTATGAGAGTATCCATATTTGAAGGCTTAACAGTAATTCTGTGGGCTTATCTGTGTGCATGTGTGTGAGTATGTTAGAAATATGTGAAGAGAGTAATTAAATAATGTAAAATTAAGAATAAAAACATAATGATAGATCATATAAGGTTATACTGTTTTCTTAAATGATTTTTTTATTATTTTTAATTATGTATATGTGCTCATGTGTGGGTGTGTGCACATGAGTACAGGTATCTATGAAGGCCAGAGGCATCTCATTCCCAGGAAATGTAGTTAAAGGCAATTGTTAGAAACCCAGTGTGAGTGCTGGGAATTAATGTAGGTCCTCTCTGAGAGCAATACTTAAATTAATCTTAACCTCTGGGCCATCTTTCCAGCCCCTTCTTTTAATTTTTTTTTTTTTTGGTTTTGTCTAAAATTTTTTATTTGGTTACAAATCTTTTTTTTTTGGTTTTTCAAGACAGGGTTTCTCTGTATAGCTTTGTGCTTTTCCTGGAACTCACTCTGTAGCCCAGGCTGGCCTTGAACTCAGAGATCCGCTTGCCTCTGCCTCCCCAGTGCTGGGATTAAAGGCATGCATCACCACCGTCCGGCTTGGTTACAAATCTTTTAATGTGTTTCCATGCATATGATCTGAAATCATTCTTTCAAAAATTAAACAGCTCTTCTTTTCTCAACTCTAAGGTAAAAGCATTACATTACAGATATACTGTGTTTATGCAATCTTGATACACTAGCCAGTTACAGGAGGACTCAGCAGAGTTTGGATGGAAAATGTCCAAGAGCAAACATTTTAGTTCTTTTGAGCCACATAATCTGCACTTCAACCACTTAAAGCACTGTTGTAGCTCGATGATTGAAGACCATATTCAGATGAATAGCCATTTCAATAAGTACTTATTTTAGAACATATTTACTCACATAATTTTCACATGAAATGTTAGTCTATCCCCCACATTTAAAAATAAAATCCGTAGTATGTGGTCCTATAAAAAAGTAGAATTTGACCCACAGAATGTAGTTTGCTAGGCTGTGAGTCACAGAACTCAATGAATATAGAAGTACAAAATCTCCCAATGATAATAGATACTAGTTTATAAAAACCATAATAAAGTAATTCAGAACTAAGGCTGGAATGGAAATACCACAGTAAAAGACCTCAAGAAAATACAGAAATCCAATTCATCACTTATATTGGCTCATTTAATACCAGCTCTATTTTAGAATGCAAGACATTAGATTACTAAACATTCAAACATCACTATCTAAAAAGTTTACTTCTTTATGATTTAATTCTGGTTCACTTTTAGCAACATCCTTGTGCCTTGACTGAATTTTTTCACTTTAAATATCATTCCTTTACTTACATCACCATGGTAAGCAATTACTGTGAATTATTATACTCCTTTTATTTTTATTATCTTTATCTTAGTTTAATTTATATTCTAATAATCTTTATGAGTCATATTCCCTGTTACTGTTTTCTAAAACCTTTAAAAATGAACAAATCTAGTTGAACATTAATTTATCATGATCCTATATAGAATATATACTATACAAAAACACAATTCTGGATGATGAATATTTTTATTCCTTTTCTTGCTTTTTCATATTTTTATTCCATAACCACGTGTCTAATATTCTAACTTCTTTCATATTCTTCTTGTTCTGATTGCTCTTCAACAAAGTAAGTTCACTGTAAATTTAGCTTGATTTATATTACACATACAAAGCATAGCTTTTGGTTATTTTATCTGGTTTTTCTATTTGTAAAACTGTCTGGCTGGGTCGTGGTAGCATACATCTTTGTCTCAGTACTCAGGAGGCAGAGGCAGGCAGATTTCTGTGAGTTCGAGGCTACTCTGGTCTATAGAGTGAGTTCTAGGACAGCTAGAGCTATACAGAAAAACCCTGTCTAAGAAAAACCAAAGCTGGGCGGGCGGTGGTGGCACACGCCTTTAATCCCAGTACTCAGGAGGCAGAGCCAGGTGGATCTCCATGAGTTCGAGGACAGACTGGGCTACCAAGCGAGTTCCAGGAAAGGCGCAAAGCTACAAAGAGAAACCCTGTCTCGAAAAACAAACAAACAAAAACAAAAAAACAACAACAAAAAAGAAAAACCAAAACCAAACCAAAACAAAAACCACACTGTCCGTAGTGACGTTCAATCTTGGATTCCTTTTAATATTGTCTATACTAGGTTCATGCATTGATATAGATATATAGGATATAGAGATGATAGGATAAAAGGGTAGATTA